ATAACAAGATGTAAGGTTTCCCAACAGAGAACCAAATGATTTTATTGGTTTCATCTGTTTTATGACACCAGGGTCTGCTAAAATTTGTCAAGTGTTACCAACAGAAATGAATTTATAATGCAGAACAACTCTGTGAAGAATTGGGAAACCATTTTTGCAGTACGCATCAAAATTAAAAGACAGAAATTTGAAAATATAGTATAACACTTTGTATAAAAATTTTCAAATCTTCCGTTATAATATGCGACACTATGTTCTTTGCTGATACAAACAAAGTTAATTCCATTCATTTATCATAAAAATTGAGTTAGATACAGCATTTTTAAACACAATGCTTAAAATTGTTTAAGCGCCCTAACAGGAACAGACATTTAAATGCAGAGTAGCAACAGGCATTTAAACGTGCACCAGCAGCAGGCATTTAAATAAACTCTGGCCAGCTCAAGCTTACCACTATTTCAGAAGTCTGGCGTTTAAAGATTAAGATCCAGTTTAATATTATCCTCCTATCTATACTTAGATCTGCCAAATTGCCTGTTCCCTTCAGTTTTTTCCAAAGAAAATTTTGTATGCATTTCTGATGTATTTCATATATGCTACATGTTTTGCTCACCTCATTCTGCTTGATTCAATCATCATAATAATGTTCAGTGACAAATTGTGAAGCTTTGATTGTGCATATTCATGGTTGTCACATTATTTCATACACATTTGTGTTGACGCTCTAATTTCAAATGTTCAGTATCAGTGACTGTGGCAGTTTCTTCAGTTTAGATAATTTGTATGTTGTAAATAAATACATTTAGACGTAGGTATTTGGGATTCTTCTCATGGCCATGAACATGTAGATGTGGTCTTCAGGGATATGGTGCCATGTAATTCATTAGATACAGTACAGCTTCTGGAGAAACCTCCTGCCTTTGCTGTGAGGGGAGAATTTGAAGGCAGCTTCTCATCCCCCTCCTCCTCCCCTTTATGTTCTCCTTTTCTTCTCATTCATCTTTTCCTCTTCTTTCACTTGTTCTTTTATGATCAGATGAGATAAGCCCCATAAGTGGGGTTGGGCGCAATGTGCCAGCCTGATGTGAAAGGCAACAGAATGGAGCATTTGGTGAAATGATTATTCTGCTTGGTGTTTTATGTGCAGCCTGGTTAGCCAAAAGTTGCATTTTCTTAATACTAATACCATTACCCATACATTCCAGAGCCTCCATAGCACTGGAAGATTTAAAATCACTGATCTCTAGATGCTAAAGCTTGTATGCAGTATTTGCATTGGGACTCCCTCCATCTGAACTCCTGTTCAATAGCCACCATGTAGAAATACTGCTTTCTTCCTGCAGATTTCTCATACAAGGACCTCCTGTCTCCATCACACTTGGAACTGGTGGCCAACCTCTCAGGCTGCATGATGCATCGTCCACACACCAACTGCTCTGACATGTGCTACCATGGAAAGTATCGCTCCATTGATGGAACTTGCAACAACTTGCAGCACCCCATGTGGGGCGCATCCCTCACAGGATTCCGTAGGATCCTGAAACCCATCTATGAGAATGGCTTCAGCATGCCAGTTGGTAAGTAACTGGAAAGAGTGTGGTGCACACAAAAACGTTTTTCAAAGAAACAGTTCAATAAAAAAGTAACTATATTACTAATAAAATGTTAAATTTTTATTTGCATATATATGTGAGTGAGAATTAAATTTATGATAATTTATTCAAAAATTTTCCCTCTTACATTTTATGTTAAAGCCTTAAAAATGTTCATTAGAATTATGTCTTATTTCGATCAGTAATGTAGTTCCTCAGTTCTGCCCCATAAGTATCAGGGTAGTATGTAGAAATGACCGTGATTGTTTCTTCATCAGTCCTTTCAAATCCACCATACATAATCTTCATTCACATTTCATTTAATGCTACAAAGAATAACCTCTGTAGTTTATATATGTTGCCAAATAATCTATAATTCAGCCTTCCCGCAAAAGTTTGTTGTACTAATTCTGAAACTATAAAAATATTTCTGTTTTTAAGCACACCATGAATAGTTATTTTAAAATATTCATGAAGCATTTGCCTATTCAGATATGGTGTAACTTCAAATTTTTCAGGCAGGCTACAGAAGTGCAGTGAACTCCTTGTCATCTGGCATGTGTGGGGAATGCTGGATACATGAACTGCCCAGCTCCTTACGAAAATTCTTACAGAACTCCCAACAAGTTTTTGCTTTAGTTCTTATGTGGGGGTCTTCCAAGACAATGTAGCAGATTTGATAGATGGAAGATTTCTAATACATATTCTGTAACAATGATCACAGATTCAAGTAGCCTCTAATCTAATGACATCTGCATGAGTGAGAATGACAGGCAGCACTGCTAGTGGTGGCTGGGTGAAATATCACATGGCGAGTGAACGTGCATCTCAAATTTGCTTTTGAATAGCTTTTATAAAAATATATTTTATTTTAAATGTTGACGAGAATTCCAGATGCTTGGATAGCAGATAACCAGAGTTGACTACCAGTTTTTAGGCATGCCACATATCCCTGCTGAACAATTATTAAACAGCTTCATTCAGCAATCCATGTGAAGTATAATGATTTGAGGGAAGAAGGTAAAGAAAATACTGAGTCAAGTGTTTGGGCCCAAAAGGGATGAAATCAATGAACATAATGAGGAATTTCTGGATTTATACAGGTAATATGATGTATATTATTAGGGTAGTAAAATAGCTGAACAATTGGAGGCTTCTCAAGAAATGCTCAGCTCCATGAGGTTGGTCGGTCGGTTGGTTGTTTAAACAGCAGAGGTCTTGTAGCTTGAATAAAAAAATAAATGCAAGGAGAATATTATGGAGAAACCTTTTGGTTATTCGTATTCTACTCTGAAGATGGTGACAGCATGTTTCTCCCACATGTTAATAAAATTGTGCTGGAGTATCATATTTCAGAAGATAGCAATCTTCAAAGTTGAAACTCATTGCAGGTTGGAAGAAGACCATGAAGTATTATGGGTTCCATAAGCCGAGTGCACGGTTAGTGTCAACACGAATCATCAGTACCAAGGAAGTGACACCTGATGACCGGCTGACCCACATGGTGATGCAATGGGGACAGTTCCTAGATCATGATCTGGATCATGCCATCCCATCGGTGAGCAGTGAGAGCTGGGATGGTATTGACTGCAAGAGGTTTGTTCCTTCCATCATACACTGTTCACATTAATGGGGACATGAAATTGCAGCTGATGCTGTAGTTGGATTGTATGCCTTTGCCATAGCTTTAGGTTAACCTTTACACTGCTGAGCATGTAATATTCCAGACACCTGTAATATGGCATTCTTGCTGTCTCAATTTCATTAGGTTCCATATTTCAGAAGCTCGTATCTCCCAAATTATTTTTTTAATGTTGTCAT